GCTAACACTAAAGCGCTACATCAGCATGGTATTTAGCAGAAGCTAACGCTAAAGCGCTACACCAGCATGATACTTAGCAGAAGCTAACACTAAAGCGCTACATCAGCATGGTATTTAGCAGAAGCTAACGCTAAAGCGCTACACCAGCATGATACTTAGCAGAAGCTAATGCTAAAGCGCTACACCAACATGGTATTTAGCAGAAGCTAACACTAAAGCGCTACATCAGCATGGTATTTAGCAGAAGCTAACGCTAAAGCGCTACATCAGCTAATGCTAAAGCAGAAGCTAACGCTAAAGCGCTACATCAGCATGGTACTTAGCAGAAGCTAACACTAAAGCGCTACATCAGCTAATGCTAAAGCAGAAGCTAACGCTAAAGCGCTACATCAGCTAATGCTAAAGCAGAAGCTAACGCTAAAGCGCTACACCAGCTGGGTATTTAGCAGAAGCTAATGCAACTACTTAAAGATTTCTTAACAGTCAATAAAGAAAACTTGAACACAGATGTTGAATGTCATTCAACTGAAAGTTTACAAAACAGCCACATAAATTAGCACTTTACAATTTAGCCATAAAAATATACATAAGGGAAGCTAAGAGGCCTAGAAGAAACGGCCATCATTGTTTTTATATAAACATATTTATATATATTTTAAAAATGTAAATGTGTGTATAAAGCAGATTTGTTTTCTTCAGGTTAATTTTGGTTTTTTTCTGCAGCGTTGTTTGCTGATGAGCTGCTGAAACAGGAGCAGGAGCAGGCGAGGCTCAACGAGGCCCGGAAGATCTCCGTGGTCAACGTGAACCCGACGAACATCCGGCCGCACAGCGACACGCCCGAGATCAGGAAATACAAGAAGCGCTTCAACTCTGAGATCCTCTGCGCTGCTCTGTGGGGTGAGACGCCGGCGGACGCCGCGCAGGAACCAAAATGTTTCTGCAGGAAATAAAAAGTTTTTTCTGCAGGAGTGAATCTGCTGGTGGGGACAGAAAACGGCCTGATGCTGCTGGACCGAAGCGGCCAGGGAAAAGTTTACAACCTGATTAACCGAAGGCGCTTCCAGCAGATGGACGTCCTGGAGGGACTCAACGTCCTGGTCACCATCTCAGGTTAATCTGACGTTTAATGTTTGATGTCTAACGTCCTTAAAGGGTTTCAGCCAACAAAAGCATTTAAATGGGACTCTCAGATTAAATGTCTTTATTACATTTTTTAAAGGTGACCTATTATGCTTCCTTGAACAGGTTATGATAGATCTACGGTCTATACAAAACATGTTCATTAAAAAATGACTCTTAGCTGAGATTTCAGTCTGGTCCGTTCTGCCTACTTCGAGCTGTTTTAGGGCGTCTTGCTGCTGCTGGCCACGCCCCCAACTCAACATTTATAGTTGCACATAAAAATGGCTGCAAACAGATGCGCAATTATACAACCGTACATCTTCGAAAAGCATTAGTAGAGCCTCCTCCACAACCAACAAGAAAGCAGCAAATGGATTCTGAATGGCAAGTCAACAACAAACACTTGTCTTTTCCAGCAACCACTGTAAAGCGATAAAACCAACTGACTGAAAGTCCTAGCGGTCCGCTTGGGTTGCTAGGGAACGGGCTGGTTCGGCTGGGGTTGCTAGGTAACGAGTTGGCTTGTTACCTACCTGCTAGGTGAGGAGACATGCCTGCTGATTTGTGACGTTACATTAGAAAGGTTTTTGAAACTGCTCATTTTCCAGACACCAAGAAACATTAGCTTATTGCTAAAAAACAACTGGGTGTTTTTCTTAAGCGGTTGGGCTGTTTTTAGAAGCATCTGAGACCCAAATGGAAGTATAACAATTTGAAAAATATGAAATTTTCACAGTAGGTTCCCCTTAAGGACTGCAGCAGTCAGGGAAATTTTAATCGACTACTTTAGAGACTAACTGGTGAATTCATCAGGTCTTAACTTGCCCACATCAGTCCTACCTGGGAAACACCCTACCTGTTGCTACATTGAAGGCTTTGCCAGGACTGCTCTTCGTATACAGTATAAATAAAACCTCAAAACACGTCTAAATTTCTAAATCTTAGGTGGATCTGCAGGTAAGTCGAAAATAAACCTGTAATTTCTGATTGTGCAGGGAAGAAGAACAAGCTGCGAGTGTACTACCTGTCCTGGCTGAGGAACAGGATATTACACAACGACCCGGAGGTGGAGAAGAAGCAGGGCTGGATCACAGTGGGGGAGCTGGAGGGCTGCGTGCATTACAAAGTCGGTACGTTGTCAGCTTAGAAGCACAGTAACAACACAATCCCAGTTAGGTTTTTATTTAAAATTACTTAAACTAAGCTTTCAAAAGAACCAATTTATTATTTTCTTCTTGTCTAATGTGTTTTTTAAATATTTTCCTGCAGTGAAATACGAAAGGATTAAATTCCTGGTGATTGCTCTGAAAAACTCAGTGGAAATCTACGCCTGGGCACCAAAACCTTACCATAAATTTATGGCCTTTAAGGTAAAAACAGAAGCTGGGAGGATCAACAAAACAATGATTTATATTTGTGATGAGAAGATACAGAAATATTTGGTAAAATTCAGAATTTTAATGCTAAAAATAAATATTTAGAGAATAAAAACAAGCAGATAGGGCTGCAGAAGTAAAACAAGTGTGAGCCACATCCTGCTATTCCTGCTGAGAAGAAAAACTTTTTTTTTTTGAGAAAGATAATCAACTTGAAAAATGTAAGATATTGTTTGCTTTTTGTGTTTTCCTTAACAAGGCAAACCTGGGAATTTTTTTATACGTCAAACCTACAATTATTTACATATGCCTTCTCTACAGAAATGAGATTATTTTGTTTGTTTTATTAAAATATTAAGTAAAATAATAATGAAAAAGAAAAAAAGGTTAGTTAATTTTAATAAAAATCAAAATTTCATATGTATAATAAGCTTAACATTTTTGGCCCCAATGGCTAAACCTAATAGACTAAATTTACAATTTATTATAATTTTTTTCTATCCATACTGACCATTTCAGTCAGTATTGATTCTGACTAAAATGCTTTACAGAAGAATGCTATGAATACTCAGACCAACAGGCAACTGTGGCACTTTTTTAATCACTCACTCTCTTCTCTTGCTGTCAGTCTTTCACCGATCTGCAACATCGCCCCCTGCTGGTGGATTTAACTGTGGAGGAGGGTCAGAGGTTAAAGGTTATCTATGGCTCCACTGTAGGTTTCCATGTGATCGATGTGGATTCTGGAAACCCTTATGACATCTACATCCCCTCACATGTAAGTGACGGAGGTTGTGTGTGTGTGTGTGTGTGTGTGTGTGTGTGTGTGTGTGTGTGTGTGTGTGTGTGTGTGTGTGTGTGTGTGTGTGTGTGTGTACAGATGTATTTACCTACATTATAAGGACCTGTCCCCCAACCTAAACAGCTCCTTGCACAACTTTTTAATGTTTTGAAATTTTACGTAAAAGATCAACACAAGTAGTGGGAGGAAAATGATACATTTGTTTTACGATACCCTGTAATAAAATAAACCTCAAGAAGTTAGCTTCAGAAGTCGTCCAGTTAGTAAACAAAGTCTGTTGAGTGATTAATTGTCAATAGACTGCTGCTGTGTGAAGGGTTGCTCTGTGAAAACAGATGTTTACAGAAGCTCTCCATCCAATCTGAAGGAGCTAGGGCTCAAAGTTTCATGTTTTACATGTTCAGCAGCTTTAGAAACAAACCCTAAAAAACAAGTTTTCAAACTGGTCTTCATCAGCATTTCTCCCGGTTTGCTTTACATTTTGATTGTGTTGATTTTCTATGACCATTTTCAGGCTGGTAATCCCCCAACTCTTTTTCATAAGTCATAAGATAAAAAGGCTCATAAGCTGAAGAAATTAACCAAAAGCCAATTTTAAGTTAGATTTGTATTCACTCTAAAACCCCAAAGATAACACTGTTTATTATTTTAGCTCAGACAAAATGATTATTATTAAGTTACTTGGTGAAAACTTGGACTACAACTTAAGAATGATGCATATTTTATGGATTAAGGACAAAAATGAACAATAAACAGGAAACATCTGAAGACAAAGCCATTGATCAGCTGCTTGACTCAAGACTTTTGCACAGTTCTGCGACTTCATTAAGTCAAAAACGGCGTCAGCAAGAACATAATGAGACAGTAAAGCCAGTTGAGTCAGTGTCCTCCTCTAACCCTGGCGGTGTTTCAGTCAGAGATGGATGAGGAGAAAAGGGAGACGGTGACCATAGCAACCGCCTCTCATCGCCTTTTGGCGCTGTTGAGTCACGCTGTGTCCGTTTCCATGGCGAGCCGCCCCTCTCTCCATGCCCCCTTGTCATCCCGTCTCTGCTGCCTCACAGATCCAGGGTCAGGTGACCCCGCACGCCATCGTGGTCCTGCCCAAGACGGACGGCATGGAGATGCTGCTGTGCTATGAGGACGAGGGCGTCTACGTCAACACCTACGGCCGAATCACCAAAGACGTGGTGCTGCAGTGGGGCGAGATGCCCACATCCGTCGGTATGTCAAAGGTCACCAGACAGAGAGAAACAAACATGTTTCATGATTTATAATGAGCTGCAATGTGTCTCTAACAGAATCTGTTAGACTCACATTCTGTCTAAAATACTGCCAGAGTATCAACTTGATCTTTCCTCCTTAAAGCTGCAGTACGTAATTTTTTTACATATTTGTTGAATCTGTCATTATGACAGCATGGAATGAGACAGATAATCTTCCTTCTCCCAGCGCTCCCAGTGCTAACTGGAAACTTGATGATTTATGTCTGAAGTTAGAAAAGTTTTACCAATTTAAACATCCCATAATACCTCAGGCTGGTTGTCCTGCTGAACCTCCAGCAGCTTTTCCTCCAGGATCATTCTGGGTTTAACTCCATCCATCTTCACCTCTGACCTGTTGAAGAAACCCACCCCACAGCATGTTGCTGCCTCCACCATGCTTCACTGTGGGGATGGGGTGTTTAGGTTGATGTGCAGGTTATTTTCCTCCACAAAACGTGTTGGAAACAGGAGAAATAAAGATGTGTGTTAACCAAATGTTTCAGTTTGCAATGAAGAAATTAAAAGTTGTAGATTTTGTTTTAAACATGAGGTGAAACTTTCTAGATTTTCTCAAAAACGTCTGGTTTAGACGGCTTCAGGGAAGAACAGACGTTTTCTATCTGAGGAAGTCGCATTTCAAGCTGAACCTGCTCTTCTGCTGCAGAGTCGCGTCCTGACAGGGCGGTGTTGTTACGATACGACTCCACCCAAAGCAACCAAGTCGCTCCACATTCCTCAGGATTATAAATACCTTCAAGATGTCGCATCAGGCTTCTGGTTCTGACTGGACGGATTGTTGTTCTGCCAGAGCTGGAAGGATTCAACTAATGTCGTATTGATCAGATATGAAATCATGATCCATTAGATCAAACCGAGCCTCTGATCTGATCGGTCCGACAGAGAGAAGCTCTGGCAGTGACTGTTTTGGGTTTCTGTCTCCATGTCGGTGTGTTTACATTTATATTTATGTATATTTGGTCCTGCTGTCCCTGCAGCCTACATCCACTCCAACCAGATCATGGGCTGGGGGGAGAAGGCCATCGAGATCCGCTCCGTGGAGACGGGACACCTCGACGGCGTTTTCATGCACAAACGAGCTCAGCGCCTCAAGTTCTTGACGGAGAGAAACGACAAAGTGAGTCTGAAACCAGCTCAGATTTAGCTTTATTTATATGCTGGCAAAACTAAAAAAATCTGTTTTAATGAAGTAAATCAATAAATCAATTAATCTGACTCTAAATAGATTGATTCTTACCTATCTTCTACTTTTTTACTTCTTATTGAATACTTTGTTAGAACTTATATTTAACCATGAATAACTTAGCAGGAAATAACAGTAATAATAATAATAATTATAATAATAGTAACAAATTTAAACAACCTTTAAATGGTAAATTTGCTGAGCTTAAGTAGAACTTTTCTAGCCACACTGACCAATCAAACGCTCATAAACTCTTCCAGGTTTATAAACCGACACTCAGATTGGTTTCATGATGTTTGGTTTCTTCCTGCTGTCAGGTTTTAAAGTTTTCCTCGGTCTCTGCAGGTTTTCTTCGCCTCGGTCCGCTCTGGAGGCAGCAGTCAAGTTTTCTTCATGACCCTGAACAGAAGCTCCATGATGAACTGGTAACCTGCCCCGCCCCCCGCTGGGAGCCACGCCCCTTCGCCGGAGGGACGATGGAGGACGGTGTCTGTGCGTGTTTATATGTGTGTGTGTACTCGTGGACGACGACGACAAGCTGCTGACTGGACTGCACATCTGGAGGAGGTGCTAAACCACAGCAGAGCGTCCCTACTTAGACATCCTCACGCTGTAGGGGGCGCTGCAGGTCCTGTGGTCGGTTTGACTGCCTGCAGAGCGAAGGTGACCCCACAAGGTCGGCGCTTTGGCCTGCTGGGCCGGACTGAGGGTGGATCTGGAGCCTTTAAGGACCTGACCAGTAGCCTTCGAGTGGGGAAGCTCTTTGTGTAGCACATCAGTGACTTTCATCCAGGGTGTTCACACTGCGAGTGCACAGGCCTGCCTGCTGCAGCAAAACCCCACGGCTGTAGTTTAGTGAGTAAGCAAAGTAGCATTAGACAAACAAAACACCTGAGGATGAGATCATAAATGCACACAATGTTAAGATTGTTTTCATCTCACAAAGCCAGGATGATTTATTATTTCTGTTTTATTAGATTCTGTCTGAATTAATCACATGTGAGAACAGAAACACACAGAGGCTGCTGGGTGTGAAAATCCTTTTTGTTTCACTTTTAGGAATAGAAATGCACAACTTTAAGAAGCAACAAACAAAATGCACCAGAATAAGAAATGATTCGGATTCTGGGCGCCTGATCAAATCTGACAATCTTAAAGGGACAGTGACGGGAAATCTCTGAATGTTACACAAAAAGAACGTCGCAACATTTCACTGTTTCAGCCATCGATGATTATATAAAACCAATCTGACAGATTAATCTGCAAAAACACAAAAGCTTACCAAGTAATTTTGTCCAGTTTCTAGTGTAAATATCTTAGTAAACTTGAAGTAAGAAAAAATTAACTTACAAGTAAACTTTCAGAAAGAAATAGCAGCTTTTTAATTAATATAATTCCTTAATATTCTTTAAAAAGTTAAAGTTCCACTGACAGATTATTTCACTTAAAACATGACATTTTCCCCATGTTATAAGTGAAATAATTCACTAATGAAACTAGAACTTTTCATTAATATTAATTAATTACCAGATTCTACTTCATTCTGAAGAGTCACTTGTAAGTTAGTTTTGTCTTATTTCAAGTTTACGAAGATATTTACACTAAAAACTGGACAAAATTACTTTGTAAGTTTTTGTGTTTTGCAGTGAAATGCTTAAAAATGTGAATATAAAGTCAGAGCACAGTTCACTGATGCACATCTTCCAACACATCAGCTTAACGCTGCCGCGCTAAATTCAACGACATAAACTCAAAATAATCTGTAGACTGTCAGACATCAACTTTAACACTGACTTCCCAGCTTGAAAATAAAAAAGCAAATAAGTTTCTGACTAGAACTCAGATCAGATGACTAAGATGGATAAATAAATAATCAGAAAATATAAAACATAAAGAGTGTGATGTGTCTGATGTTTTTAAGTATGACAGCTTAAAAACATCAGAAATAAACTATTTGCTCTTAATTAGATCACAAACTATCAAACATTTCATGACAGTTTCTGATATATTATCACCTTTATTTGCTTGTTTTCCTTCTTGAAGCAAATTTAGTTTATTTCCAAAATAAAAGTCAGTACCTGAATAAGGACCTAAATAACTGTTTTCCAAAAGCTTTGTATTTTCTTCGCACAGTTTAAAGCACTGCCTTGTTGCATTATTGAGCCATATTTTTCTTATTAACTTCATTTTTGAATATGTTTTGTGTACACATATAAAAACACGTAAAGAACGCAACAAAATTAGCTGTTAAAAATAATCCTCCCAAACAAGCTTTCTGTTTCTTTTAGTGGTTTCTAGACTGTTTTAGCAAAATATAGCAATTACTTTTCATGGTTTTTATTTCTTCATGATGCAGCACAGAAACAACTCAAAAGGCATCAGCAGGAGGTAAAACACCCAGCTGTGGTCCGTCGCTCCTCTAGATGCTCACAGTGTGAACACTCGCTTCGAGTGATGCTGCTGGACGTCTGCCTCCTCCCAGAAAACACCAATAATCCTTCAAACAAGCAACGACTGTCAGAGGGAGGAGCCAGAGACTCGACCCGCCGCTGCAGACGGCCTGCAGCAGCTGCTGCAGCTGTTTGGTTCCTGACAGGAGAAGGAAGCTTGTAGATATTGTACTATTGCTGCAGCAGCAACACAATAACAGAAATCTTCACGTCTTTTCTCACTGGAAGAACTCGTTCGTAGAATAGTTACAAACTTCTGGAAGGTGTTATTTCTCCTGCCTTGTGTTAAAACCACTTTTTATTTTCTGTTTTAGCTCTTCTGCTTGTTCTCCACTTTTGTAAATACTCACAGGCTGTTTAAAAGCAGACAAAAACAAAAAGGGTTTTATGAGATTTGTTTTTATTTCGTCCCTCTTTCAGTCATTATAACCTGGGAGATTTTTCTGAGCACTTCCAGGAACTAAATGAGTTTAATTTCGTTCATTCATGGCTGTTTATTTAGTTTGCATGAAGACATACATGTTGAACCGTCTTCACTTGTTATGAATTTCAGGTTTGAGACAAAACACTTGTTGGTTTTACAATAGAAAGTGGACAAAACCCTGAAAAATGTTAGCATTTTGTGTTTTTTTTAGTTGAATAACAGTAAAGATTGTACACTGGAGAATTATACATCTTGGTGACATTTATTATTAATTTAGGTATGTAAAAACCAAGCAGGTGCGTAGATTTTGACTGTAAACGCTGGGATTATGAGAGAAAACTGTTTCATCTTTTGCTTTATTTCCTTTTAATTGTTCAAAGATCTTAAAGGATGTGATAAACGGACGCAGACTGAGGCCAGCTGAGGCCTTTAAAATGTGCAGGATGTTGGAGTTGATCATCAACCTGTGAATAAAGAGCAGGAGGCAAAGAATCAATAGATTAAAAGATATTTATACTGTAATAATTTACATGATGATAATATCTTACTGATCATTTTAGAGGACATAAATAATGTTCACTTATCAAAGCTTAGTTGTCTTTCTACAGAATAGAGAACATAGCGAATACTGTAAGAATTTCTAAAAAAAAAAATACAATGTTTTTATCGTGGTATTATTTGTATTTCAATTTTTTGTATCAAGACTGTGAACGTGTGTGCGACTGTGTGTCTGAGCGTGCAGGTGTGTGCACAGGTGTGTGACATGCATGTGAGCGTATGTTTTCACCTCACCTGAATCACTGGAGTCAGTCAGAAGACGACCGTCGTCCGGCAACGCACATCTGTGATGTTTGGAAATCTCCAATAAATGTCCTCTCCTTGTACAGCAGAAACCCAGAGCCGCTTCTCTTTCTTCACACAAACCTTCACCTTATGGGTGTGGCAGTAACAACCTGCTGGGGCAGAAAATGTGTTTCATATTGATAATTACTGATTTGCTTTAATATCTGAAATACTTCCAGACTGGTGGAGTGACATTTCCTCTTTTATCCACAGGGGGGGACTTGAAACTGTTTGTTACCCAGCAAGTTGTTGCTAGGCAACTGAAGAGTGTGAGTTAGTTGATTCCACCAACCTAGCTTAGCTAGCTGTGAGGTTCAGCAGTTCAAATTTTTACTTTTATCAACTAATCAAGTTTTTGGTTTTTAAAGATTTAATTTTTGGAAATTTATGGGTATTTCCACCAAAGCGCTCCTTTGGTTTCCATAGTTAGAGTGATGTCAGCACGCCCGGCGGCCATCTTGGTTGACGAGCATGTTTTTCAGCTTCTATTAATTTGGACTTTGAATTCAGGTCAAAATGCAGGCTAAAATTTTTCTTTTTAAAATAATAAAGTGTTAATATTACCAAAAAAAGTTGCCATATTAGGAGAACAAAATGGTAATTTTATGAGTACTCCAACATGAAAAATAAAAAAATAATTATCCAGGTTTTTTTCCTCACAATTTCAAGCCATTTACCTGGTAAAATCAATAATATTCTGCTAATATTATTGTTTTATTCTAAGAATTAAACAGAAATTCTTGCAGCCAAACCTTATAATACTCTGTTGTTCAACATAGAGAAGGGATGATTGAAATAAAAGCCACTTTTTAAAATCATTTGTAATACATCGGACCATAAGACATTATACCAAACTTTGTAACTAACCGTGGAAACAAGGTTTTAGTCTCATCTGCCCAAAGCACACAGTTCCAGTTAAAGTCAAAGTTCAGAACTCCATATGTTTATTTTTGTGATGGTAGGACTGAGAATGTTTATTTACCAGTCAGTAAATAAATAATTTATAGTTACAACCAGTGACACTAACACGCCTCTAGTTTAGGTGAAGAGCTGTTTTCTTTGGACATTTTCTAATTTACAAAGATTGTCAGCCACACTTGAATCTCTCATTTTTTTATATTTTGAGGATGAACAAAGAGAAATGGGCCATTTTCTTCGGCCCAGTTTCTGAAGTCGAAACTCGCAGCAGGGTTTGACATCAAAATCACAACGCTGAAGAAGACATTGTTTGCAGTACTTCATAAAAATCATTTTAAATACTTTTCACCACTTGCAGATGCCATGACATTGATTTTAGATGCAGTCTTACATGTGTGCCCTGTAAATTAAACATTTCAACCTGAGTTTACTTCAGGTTGAAATGCAAGGAGCGGCCATATTCAAACGCAAAGTTGGAATACAAATTTCTAACTGGGAAGTTGGAATTTCCGAGTTTCGACTACAAATGGAATGCACCACCTGTGTCATGTTTCTACCACTGAGAAACATGATGTATATTAACTGCTAAATACCAAAAACAAAACTTAAATACCAAAATATTTTTTCTACATTTGTTGCATGTTAATAATTGACAAGGGTTCCAATAATTCTGCCACTGATGATTTTATGAAAAACAATTATTACTTAGCTGTAAACTTAAAAAGAAAAAACATTTATAATTTTCCTTCTACTTTACAAGTATTTACTTTATGTTGATTTATCACATAAATTCCAACATAGCAAAAGGCTAAGTCCAATCCTATTGGTAATTTTCGCCTGTTTTACTGACTAAATTATAGTGCATGTCCGTTCTGCATGTGCCGACTCCTTACAAATCAAATTGTTTACATTCCAATCGCTAGTCTACGCGTGTTCTGACTTTCGTTCATTTTGGACCACTCTTTTTGGGTAGGTAGCTGTTTTTATCGGTGCCTGTAGGTTCCTCCGGAACCACAGTATATCGGTGAGCTGATGGGTTGCCAGTTCTCCTCAGACAGGCTCGGCCTTTCTCCCTTCCTGAATCAGGGTCTCCTCGAACATACCTGGCAACCCTTTCTGCCAGCCCGAACACATAAACTCCCCCCTCCTCTCCGCTTCCTCCGCGGATGCTGCAGTCAAGTTGGCCGCGCATGCGCACTCTCGGTCCTCTTTTTGCTCGGAAGGTAAGTGCGGCATGGCGCGTGTTTCTTCCTTCAGGGAATAAACGGAAAACTTTATCCGTTTTTAGTTCACCTCAGAGTGGATTTAAAGGCAGGGAAGTAGTTTCCTCCCGGTAAGCGAAGCCTTCGGATAAGCTGCTTTGTTTTGCCGGTGGATTCCAGTCGGGCGGTGGGGCAGGGTGTGGGTGTCCGGGGCTCAATCAAAGGGACATGCGGCCTTCGGTGGCGAGGCGCTCGGTGTCATGTCGGCCGTGTTTTCCAGCCTTCCATGCTGTCTTTTAGCGGCCACGTGTTGTTCGTGGAGGCCATAATAAAAGCTGAGCCCCGAGCCGCCGTCGAACTTGAAGTGATTTGGAGTCTTTATTTTGCATCTCACTGCGGTTAGCATTGGTAGCAGCTGTTAGCTTTGCGTTAGCTCACTTATTTAAATAACAGCCACTGTAACGAGTTACGAAGAGTTTGTTTTATTAGGTATTAAACTAAGTTTTTTTATACAATGACGAGACATAACTAACGTTGGCGTTACTAAATGCATCGCATTTTAGTACAAGCTCCATCGTTATAAAATATCGGTATGATATGTCGGTGTTGTTACCAGAAGGCCAAGCTAGCGTGTGCTACTTTCTTAAATTATCCCGTTAATCCCCTGGAGAGACTTATTCCTAACTTATCTCAAATTTATTCCTACATCTTTTACTCTGAAAAACAGATTTATGCTGCTGTAATTGATCCAGACCCATTTGGAGCAGCGGTGGATGACACAGCAGTTGAGCCTCGTGTTTAGCCGGCTAGCCTGTCCGAGCTTCCACGTTTCATGGACGCTGCGGATTTATCGCTGCTGTTTATTCAGACCTACTTCAGTCTGACTGGAAAAACAACTCGGATATTAAAAATTTAGTCCTAAAAACAAATCTGCATTTCTGAACTGATGAGTTGGATTGCTTAAAAAGGCCCCAAAAACGTTGCAAAGGCAGCAATAATAGCTAATTTGTCAACAAACTCTTTAAATAGTGACTTTAAAATGTAGGAATGCGTAATTACATAATTGCTAAACGTGACAGTAACCATAGTTTATAGTTTTAGAAAGTTGGCATAGATATTTAGGGTTTGTAAATAGTGAAGTATATCAGGTTGAGTTTGAATGGATTCCCAGCTAATTCATTTAGGCGTTGTCTGGTTATTGCTGCTCTATGCAGTCTGAAACTACTTACTCAAATTGCCTTTACGCCAATTAAAAGAAAACAATAAGAACGAAGATGCATAAATACAAACTTTAATAAACTAGTAATTTATGAATTGGTTATATAACTGATAACTCAATTCAGATGTTATATTCATTATCTATAAAATCAGAATTTTATTAGAGAAAGTATCAGAACCTGAATTAGAGCTGAAATTACATAAAAGTTGATTCCACCTACATACCTGAAGATATTTTTGCATAAACAAAAATCAAATTGTTATACATTAAATAGATATTTGATATAAATTGTAATCATGAATTAGGTGCAGTATTTAGCTGGCTATAACATTTCAGTTGAATTGCCAATATTCTTATTTTTTTCTTGGATGAGGCTCATTTCAGCTTTAATAAATGAAGGTTTTAGCCTCCAGTAAAGTGGAGGGAACATTACAGAATGAAACATGTGGTTTAATTTGCTTCTGAAAATGACTTTGAAACAGATGTGGAAGGTTTAAGAACCCTGCAGAGTTTATTCTTCCAGTTGATGAATATTCAGCGTTGATAAAAACCCACACCAGACTGAAACTCTGATTCTCTTCAGATATCCACCATATGGTTCCAAGATGATGAAAACAAGCTAACAAATGTAATGACATTAAATGGACACCTTGTGCGATCAGACTACAGATTATCTTCGCTATACATGAACTTTAATTTGTTTAAGGAGAATATTTGCATTTACGGTTCTGACTTTCTTTAACATTTGAAAGAAGAGGTCCAGTCGTCTGTTTGGTCACTCAGCAGATTTATCGCTTTGCTAGAAATTATCTGGGAAGTAATTTCTGTAATTGAGCGATTTCACAGCTTTTTTGATTTCAGTAAAACTAAATACATTTGTCGTTGGTTTGCATCAATCAGCCGTTTCTGCTGCTTCGTTTATTAAACCTTTACTCATCCTGAGTCATCATGTAGCTCCAGTGCTTACCTGGCCAGGTGTTGATGATGTTTTTGCGGTCTGTCCTCGCAGCGCCCCAGACCCATCGCACCATGGCAGATCCCGATCTTGACTTCACGACTGGTGAGTCTGGCGCCTCCGCCACCTACCCCATGCAGTGCTCCGCCCTGCGTAAGAACGGGTACGTGGTGCTGAAGGGACGTCCCTGCAAAATTGTGGAGATGTCCACCTCCAAGACCGGCAAGCACGGACATGCCAAGGTACGGTTCTGAGCTGTCAGGTTTGACCCAGTTCCTTGAAACTTTAACCATTAAAAAGTTAAAATCTGGCTGGGTTCTCCTTCACGGAGACTGACTGATGTATTAGTTTTACCTGGTTTTAAATTTTCTTTCTTCAGATTTATAATTTGAATATCAGATCTACTGTTTCTCCTCTAACTGGTTTTTGGGAACAGAAGCTGCTGCTTGCTGCCAGTTTTCACATCTTTGTTCGTTTGTGGTGTTTCTGCAGGTTAACCTGGTTGGTATCGACATCTTCACCAACAAGAAGTATGAAGATATGTGCCCCTCCACTCACAACATGGATGTTCCCGCCATCAAGAGGACAGACTATCAGGTGACCAGGATGTTACAGTCTGAGATCAGAACCAGGATCAGATCCTGTCTGACCTCCTGCTGGCTCTGAATTTATAGTTTGTAAAGGGGAAAAAGTATCAAATTAATTTAATCAAGTTCACATTACAGTGTTGAATTAATACTGCAGCTAATTATCTTCATGAACAAAAACTGTTGCTAAAAGTTGTTCCTGAATTTATGGCAACCAATTTTAATTTAGTTTTAAATGCTGAAAGTAGAAACTAAATTAATTCACTAATGTTGGAAGGTTTTAGATGTTATTGCCTGATTTTTACAGTTAATAGATCTGAAAGTGAGTTTAATTGTTAGAATAAGCACATAATAAAACAGAAGCTGATTATTTTTATCAGTAATCTATTTGTTGCCTGTTTGAGATGCTTTAATTTGAAATTTTACTTGAGGCTTAAATTAATTTGAACATACCTGATATTTTATCTCATCGCCTCTCGGCTCCAGGATGAAACAATCTGGTCGTCTGTTTTCTGAACCTACTGAATATTTTACTTTTACTGCTGGAAGCTTTAGTTTCTGGATGTTTTTAAAACGGCTGGTTTGAACTTTAGATCAGTTTAGTGACACTTTATAGGAAGACTAATAGTTTAGGACAAAATAAGATTTTATCCCAGGGATTATTTAACAGACCAACACAATCAGCTTTATATGATGAGGTGGATCCGGTTACAGCAGGAAACTTGGAACAGAAACGTCCTTTATTGTCCCATATGGGGACATTTCTGTACAACAGCAGCTCAGTGACGGCAGTAATGGAGAATTTTAATGTAGATAAAAAGAAAACACTGTGCTGTTGGATAAGGGCAAAAGTTATAAAAATGTACAAAATGTGCATGTCTCTTGATATAAACACATAATTATAAATATGACATGATAGAAAGTGGCTCCGTGCTCCATACTTTAAAATATTAAAAACGAAATAAAAACATGTTTAAAGTAGGTTTAAAGATTCAAAACAATATTAAAATGATGTTAAATCAAATTTCTGAATCCTGTACAACAGGAGTGAAAATGTATATGAGCTGAGAGGATGTCTGTTCTGCTAGCATTAGCCTGATGGAACTAGTTTAATTAAATAGCAGCTAGCATTAGCCTGATGGAACTAGTTTAATTAAATAGCAGCTAGCATTAGCCTGATTAGCATTTGTAGCTTGAGCTGTTTCTTGTCATTATTGGGTTTTAGGATTCTGGTATTCAGAGCCTTGTGTCTGAATCAGATCATAACCTGTTTGGTTCCCCTCACCGACCTGCGCAGGACTCACTCATGTTTCCTTTATCCAGAACCTGGATCCCCTCAGGTTCTGACTGACTGTAACTTTAATCCATGTCTTTTTAATCAAAATCTGTAAACGTGAAATCCTTTTTTAAAATATTTTTCAGATGAAGTAATGAATTGTTTGGTTTCAGCTCGTTAACATCGCTGAAAGCTATATGTCCTTGATGAGCGACAACGGTGACATCAGAGAGGACCTGCGCGTCCCCGAAAGCGACATCGGCAAGGAAATTGAATCAAAGTTCGAGGCGGGTGAAGAATTCATGGTGAGTTTCTGTTTCTGGCAGCGCGACGGACGGTCCGGGTCGGGTTTCAGATGATTGACTCGGACACGTTGCTCTGGCTGCCCGCAGGTCACCGTGATTTCTGCCATGGGGGAGGAATGTGCTGTCGCTACCAAGGTCTTGGCCAGCAAATAGGGAGATGGACTTTGCTGCCCAGGCAACAAGCACCACCCACAACCAGTCTCCTGCATTCTCATTGGTTCTGTCACCAAAGCGTCGGCCTTCACAGACAACCTCAAATCATTCTGTTGTAATTTCTCTCTCATCAATGATCTTTTTATCCCCTCTCCCTCGCCTCCTCTCCCCTCCCTGGTTTCTCTTTCTGTTGCTGTTGGGAATGTTCCACTGCAGCTCGCTGCGTGGTCCTCTGTCTGATGACTGAGTTTTTGTTTGGTAACAATCTACTTTATATAAAAACAACTTTAAAAAATCCCGATCAGTTGCTCATTCCTGCTTATTTTTGCCTTCAAAGTGTTCGTTTCGCCACTCACATTCCTGAATGTTTAAAAGAAACTTTGGGGTTCAGCTTTTGTATGATTATTTTTTATATTCTTTAGATTAAATAAAGCGAATCTGGAGGGGAGGACTGCTGCCATCTTCGGGGTGGTTAGCACTTAGAGGCCCACCCAGCATGTAAAGCGAAAAGTTTTCCCACCCCAGCCCCAGTCAGGAACTTCAGCAACTTCCCCCTCGGTGTCCGTTTCTCGTCTGTAGGAGTCTGAGGGCCGCGGCGGTCCGGGGCGCTCGTACTTCTGGTCCAAATTCTCGATCCGATGTAACCATCCCCCTCCCTCCCTCCCCCATTACAAAAAGTGTTATTCTTTGATTTCAGAGGCGTGAGTGTGGAGCGGTGTGGGCCTCCGACATGTGGGAGGCGGTTTGCAGTGAGAAGTGTTTCCTTTTGTTTTCTTTTTGAGGGACTTTATTCGGGTTTGGGAGGGTGGTTCAGTTGCAAACTTTTTGTTCACTCGAGGCCTTTTGTCACCTGACTGAAGAAGGCAAAATAAAACAATGATACAAATGGACAAAAACTGCAAAACGCTGTCTGCTTTTCTGTCTCCTGGCGGGTTTTGTTTGGTGGGCAGAAAATAAATGCATTGCAGTGTTGGGTCAGTTTTGTTTGTGCGATTTATAACTTGTGCTTTAATGCTGCAGAGACTGTTTCTACAGCTGGAACCTTAGGAAGTGTTAGCATCAGTATCCTAGCCTCTCTATAAAACTGCTCATGATGCTGCAGGAATGTGCAAATGACTCCATACAATAAATGACAAGATCAATTAAACTTTTCGTAATTCTGTTCAAAATGTCAAACTTGTGATTTTGATTGTGGCTAACAGAGAACCCAAAATGAAGTTCTCTAAGTGTTGAGGATTTTTTCTTCCACTAAACTTTCCAGTGAAATGTATACACATCTGAGTTTCAAATGTAGAATTTTGCATAAGTGCTATATTTAAGTTAGTGTTTATTAATGGAAAGTTTAGTGGAAGGAAAAAGTGGTAAACTGCACAACCAACAGATTGAGGCAGTTTGGGGGAGATGAAGAATTTTAACTGGATTTAAAAGGGATTCAGTCCAAGTCTGTATTTTTTTATTAATTTGTCAGATTAATAAAAAAATGATGCAGATTTTTTTTTTCTGGAAAACGAGAACAAAATCCAAACTGCTTGAGGTCAGAGGTTAAGTTTCCACAATTTGATCTGCTGAACATCCGAGATGCATCAAGTCCAAAGTCGGTTCGCTTTTCCATCTGGATTCGGTTCCGGTCGTCTTTGCCTAAAGGAACCAATAAATGTATTGATTACGGTGTGATCAGTGCCGAACTGATCGGACCTGAACTGAAACATCGGCTGCCAAAAAGGAGCCGCCGCTGCAAGTAACTTTACACTTAAAAACAGAAAAGTTGGAGTATTTTGATTTGTAAAAGTTATGTAATTAGGTGAATATAATTATGCAAAATTCTGTATTTCAAAAAAAATTCAAGCAAACAAAACATTTCTAAATGTATTTGGATCATAAAGCTGCTGAAACCAAAACCTGCCGTTGGTAAAGTCTGTCAATGTAACGCATCTTAGCGACGATGTTTACAGTATTTAAATATCTGAGCTGCTTCAGCAGATGGAGAATAAAACAAAGATTGTGTACAAACAAGAAGTCTCACTTTGACACCCTTTGCTAAAACATTGTAATTTGACGTCAAATAAGTAAAATCTGTTAGTTTTAAACATTAAGTAAAAAGTGTTATGTGGTAAAACTAAAGTTACTCAAGCAAATGTAATTCGTTACCTTCTGTCCTGAGAGGAACTAATTGTATTCTCATTTATTTGGATGTGCTGGTAAGACAGGTTTGTATTTATCAATGCATTAAATAAATAGAAATAACTCATGTCTGTGTTTGTTTGCAGAATCATTACGGTGATTAACATGACATATGTACGGTTATTACAGAGGGGTTTTTTACGTTTTCTCGGGTGACATTTTCAAAGAATTCCTCTTAATGTTTGTTCTTAGACGAAAAAATTTTCTATCAATAGCCGGATTTCTGCAGCCATCTTAATACTTTAGAGTCTGATTTTATGTTAAAAAAATGTATTGTGTTTTTGTTCCCAGTCACAGAGCATCTATCATTAGTATAAACTTAAGTATGATGCTAATTAGCACCACTAGGCACTTAAGGAATAAAACAGCCTGCTCACAGTATGTTGATTATTTTATTGATGCTGTTGTTACTCAAACACAACTTTGAAATTGAGTCAATATATATTTACTTCAAATAAAGCTGAATACTGAAAGATTCCTCTACTGTCGTAGAAACTTTTATCCCCCGTTATATATATCAGGACATATATTTATGTGAATAATTCTTCATTCATCTTTCTTGTTATATATAATCTGAAGTAATTCTTTGATTCAAAGTTCCATAATCAAAATAAATGCACAGAATTCAATATTTCTATAATTATTATTACCCTGCGGTGCTGATTTTGAAATCAAGACTCCAGAAAGCTATTTGTAACAGTGTGGTAGAAATAAAACCAGAATCGTGTTATTTCCTCAATTGCAGGCCCTGAGAAGTTCCTGTTTCAAGTGTTTGTTTTTTTTTCTTCTTCTCCTGTGTTGTAGTATTTGAAGCCATGGCTGCAACACCCAGCATGCAGTTGAATCACTCCCTTCTGCTCACTGGAAAAATGAATGCATGCTTCTTCTTTTTCTTTCGTTTTTCCAGCTCTTTCCTTTCAGGGTGAAGTTATGGTTTCTGTGACTCATGCAGACGGCTGATTTCCTCTGCAGGCTCGGAGACGTGGTGCGGCTGAATGAATGGAGCTGAAAGAGGCAGGGAGCGGTCAATGATTGAACAGGCTCAGCAGGTTTATTATCAGGCCTGGTTTGGCAACAACTGACCTTTGGACCAACAAGGGAAAACATCTTCTACCCTGCAGTGACCAAACTTTCCTCTTTTATGGAGAAAAATCATGTTTAGCTGCTGTTTCCAAGTTAAACATATTAAAATCTGTGTTTACTTAATTATTAAAACATCTGCTACATTATTAGCAAAGATGGGTAGAGAACCCAGAAATTATACTCAGGAGTAACAAAGTGTCAGGTAAAATGCATCATTAAGAAATACCTCAAGTAAGACTGCAACAGTATTTTGTAAAAAGGCTACTTAAGTACTAACTGATTGTCAGACGGAGAAAATATTATTTTATGTGCAAATTCTCGTATTTTAAAAACTAAACTAAGGGGGGGGGATTATACAAATAAGTAACATAACTACAAAATAATAAATTCAGACAAAAAAAACACTTTTCCAATTAGTTTTTTCCACAATAAACTTATAAAAGTAACATTTAAAGTAGGCAATTTATATTACCACAAGGTAAAGTATGTCAACTGACTACTGTATGTTCTTTATTTCCAAATAGCACAAAGGGTTTAGCAGATAGAAAATAATATCAGAAAAATGAAGCTCGTCTACAAACAAGAGGTCTCATTTCAACATAAACTGTAGGTTTGTATCTGGATCTGGTGTATATTTTATTAAAATATGTTTGTTCTTTATTTGATAAAGCAAAAAATTATTAAATAATACTAAAAAGCATATTGTAGTAAAATTACTCCTAAAATTACATTTAAAAAAAATACTCAAGTAAATGTAGCTACGTGATACCTACCCCTGATCATTAGGTTGTAAATTGTTATTTTCACATGTATCCTATTATTTTTGGCAGATGTGACATTGACCATATTTGGGAAAGGCGTTTCAAGTCGGGCGTCCTACGTCCTTGTGCGTCACATCCGTTTCTTCCTTTTCCCGTTTGGTCTCAACATGGCGCCGGTGAGTCCGGTTCGCTCCTCATCCATTTAATGTTATAGATATGATTTTAGTTGTTGTTTGTCTCTTTAATAAAAACATATATAGATTATTTGTGTTAGAGTAAGTTTTGCGTGATTTTAATTGCTTTTATGAATAAAGAGTGTAGAAAAAGGGCAGTTAGCTTTAGCCTGTACACGTGTTCCAGTATCAGTCTGCCGGTAGACCAGACTCCGTAGAAAAAATATTGGATTTTCTGTATGAATTATTTTAGCTATTCAGATACATGTTTAACGGCTTCGTTTTTGGTTGATAGGTAGCTAGTTGCCTTGTAGTCATTTCGGCTTATTTGTCGTAGTTTTTTTTTTTTTTTTTTTTTTTTTTTTTTTCAACTTACCAGTTTAGGATTTATAAATGTTTACCAAAAAAATAATGCCTGTGTAGCTCTACTGTATTTGAGTGATATTGTACAATAGTTGTGGGCTGACCCAGTGCACTAGAAATATTAAACGGTCCAAGTTGGATTCTAAAGGAGAAATTATAGCGTTTATGAATTCAGCATGTATTAAAATAAACTTAGATCTGCACAGTACACTATGTATGTACCTAAATCAATAAGCTGAAACCTTTACATTTGTTCCCCTAAATGTATGTATTGTTGTACAGTTCAGGCAGAATTACTGCTGTAAGTTTGCTGTTCTTTCAGCAAATGGCGTCTTTTAGTATCTACACTCTTAATTTATTACTTAAGTTCATAATTGTTTGTCATTGATTCGTCCCTATTAATCTGATTGGTTTGAGCTCTTCTTTCTAGCATCAATAATACTTTTACATTATTTACCTTTTTTTGTAGTGCAATCAGAGAAAATTATCTTGTTCCATGACTGATTTAAAAAAACAAAAAAACAAGCTGCAAATCATTAAATGTAGAATAACAATAGCATGATTGTGGTTTTGGGTATTAATTTAAAGTTTAGTGTATAGCAGGA